GAGAAAATGGTCCACACGATCAACAACCTAAGTGAAATCGAAGTAGACTGCGTAAAAATAAAACAATTTTTTCCTATATAAAATATAAAATAAAGAGAACCGAAGAGTGACGCAGAACCTTGTTCTGACCAACTCGCGCTCTATCTCACTTCAACGATAACTCGCAGTTAAATTATTGATCATATTATGTTGGGTCATGGTTTCTAAGGTCTTCAGAGCTGTGGGACTCGCGTGTTTTTGGCCAAATCACGTAAAACGACGTGCAGTTTCAGTGTTGAACGATAAGCAGAATATGTGATTACTTTAACGCACTTGCAAATTGTTAACTCTAGGGAGCGCGTCTTAAGATCTTGCACAGAATAGGCTAACATTGGCATTGGCAACGGCTTTTGAAGTGCTGACAAGAACAAGTTCCACAAAACGATTGAATGGTTACGATTTCTCCGCAAATTATTCAGAATTTTGTGATCTTTAATGGTCCGAAGTCTTTAAGCTTTGATAGCGAATTCCAGTTGCAGCTGCAGAAAATTCGAAACAATTTAGCGAAGCATTCTTCAACAGCGGCAGAGAAAGCTCGTTTGACAATGTAGAGGTCTGTCATCGCGGACTTGGTTACGTTCAGACAATGCAAAGGAAGTTTAAGCGAGGTTATTTTCTACATTCCTAAGTTATTTTGCACGCCCACTGCATCGAATGATGTGGCATTCAGACGGTAAGCCGTACGGTTCTGAAAGCTAGTTTGGCTTACTAGTATAATTTTGCATTCCTTCTCATTGAATAGTAAAAGCCAATGCTTCTACCGTCCTATGAGTTTATTTAGGTTCCTATGCCTATGCTCTTTCTCAGCGGAAGTTGAACGACGCTTCAAAGCTTTGTATAATCGGAAAATATGGCAGTAACACAATCCAATTCATTTTGAAGTCAGTCAGTGCTTGCGCCTTTTAACTCCCTATTCATCACATCTAAATCTCAAGAAATCAAAAAAATTTAAAAATATTTTCAGTCCGATAAATGTAGACAGAC